TTCTTAAATGGGCATGACAGGTGTTGAGCCAAAAAACAAAAATTTGATAAAAATTCACAGACCTGCGGAAAAATACAAGTTTCTTCACTTTGATTATTTTGACGAGAGCCTGATTCAACCACGCTGCCTCACATATATTTTTGCCGGCAAAGCTTTTATTCTAAATGACATCCCAACACTTAATCTTACATATTCAGCATTTTACCCACCAGTATAAGACAGAAGTACTATAACACATGAGCATATAGTCTTGGTTAGGTTAAGTCAGAGTGACACGGCATCCGAGGACCAAAACCACGATAATAATACATGTAATACATAAGGGATTCATTCTTTGTCATACAATACCATACACATTTTATTAAAAACTTCAAACCACAATCCCTTTAAAAAAGTCTCACACTTGGAAGTGAAAGGCTGACAGGGACAGAGAAAAATTTTTATTTGTAAAAAAAAACCCAACATAGTTCTACCCCAACTCACAAAAAGCTGCCCTAGAACTTACCAATAACAATAAATGTGACTTTCTTTTTTATTTCTATTTTTTTCAAGTCTGAATGTGTATCAACTACTGAAAAAAGTTTTCAACTTGAGACTGTGTCATACATTTGATAAAACCTTTATCTATAGAATTGGAGTACAAACGTATTTCTAATGTGTCAGCTTTGGATAAAATCAATCATGTGGGAGATTCATATCATATTGCAGATGCTGCTGAACTACACAAAGCAGATATAGTATCAAATTTCCAGCTTTAGAGAAAAAAATTGTATTAGAAAAAAAAGTATATATAAACTTCCATCAGAAATACAATACTGGTCCAATTCATAAAGCAGCCAAAGGCATCCCCATACAAAATAATCACAACAACAAACTTGTACACACAGACACACAAACTCAGGTTCATTTTTCTGAAAACCACAAAGCCTCCCTCACTTTTGAATCTAATTTAAAGGTCAGCAGAACAGTCACTTGCTAATTCTAAACTCAAAAGGGAAAATGCATTATTTTAAACCCAGAACAACATAATATATTAAACCATCATAGAATCCCAGAAAGAATAAGCGGGATTCACAACACTGACCAAAGACCTTTTTCCTGCAGCTTTGAACTTATGAGCACAATGCTCATGTTCACGATCATTCGTTAGCTTTAAAAATGATGATGCACTGGACAAAACTGATCATGATATCTGTCGCAAACATGTAGTCTATTTTGAAGGACAGAGTAAAACAAGCGTTTGATACTATCTGATACCATCTTGTACTTCTTTGTCACAAAGGCATCAGAATGAGGGGGGAAAATAATATGAGGATGACAATCCAAATTGAAAACTTTTGGCAAAGTAAGAGTTCAATAAGGTGGTAGACAGTTCAAGGCTGCATGCTATCCTGTACAACATAGAGGATTAGACCATTAAAACACTTAATCAAGAGTTTGAAGTGTAACTACACTCAACCCTAATACTTTTGGTAAAGTCAAAGATTTGAGATGAAATTTCAAGACTGTAGACTATATTATCGGACAAAATATAACTAAGAAGGCAAACGAAGAACACAATTAAACAAACAAAAAATGCAGAAGTACTCCACATGCATTAAAAGGCAAATCTGTATCTGTATAATTTCACAATCAGCAATACAGTATTTTGGCACATTTTTCCGATCACTGTACAAAACTGGGGTCTTGTAAGTGGCCAAAAGTGAGTAAATATAGGCCAAAGCTTCATTAATACAAAACCAAACGCCAGCCCCTTTCAAAGTCAAGGCAGGACGCAGCTGGGAACTTTGCAAAAAGAGTCAAAATATTTTCAGAATGCATAAAGCAAAAACAAAGAACTCAAAAAAACCCCATTGTAGTCCAAGTTTCTTAAAATACATTTCTTTTTATCAAGACATAAGAAAAGAAATGCATTTCATTTTCATCTACAGAAAACCATAAAAAAAGATAGACAAAGGTAAGCTCAGACAATAAAGAAAATGAATATTGCATAGAGTTGCAGAATAATACAAAAGTGGCACCAGAAGAACGTGTGATGAAAGAAAAACCTTCATATACCAGAAAATCCACATCTTCTGGAAGAATTTAGCATGCAGTCCAGTGGTGGACTTGGACAGCACTCAGGCACACAGAATCTAGGTTTTGCAAATGATGCTACTTATAAAATAAGGGCCTCAGGGGCTAAGACATTCTGAGGCCCATTCATTAGGACAAGCAAGTAAAAACACTCTAAGCGTACAAAACTCTAACTAGCATAAATATAAAAGAAGCAAGTAAACAAATAGGTTTGATCGATCAAGAACCGGTGTAAACTTTCATTTCACCAATATAAGTAATGTATATAGTTTTTCCAGCTTACAAAGTAAAACAATAAAACAAAGTTGTCCAAATTGTTTAGAGTTAATTCCTAAAAACAAATACTACTGCATTCAGCAAGGAAAACAAACAAAAGATACTGAGAGGCTGGCTACATTCCTCTTACCAGGTCAGACCCGGCCTGCATAACATTAAGATACAAACACCTGGCACTGCACTTTCTTGAACAGCGCCACTGATATGTCACTCTTCAAAGATAAACTGTTGACAGATGAAAACAATACCGTGGGCTATATGGGTATTTTTCACAACCAATTTGCCAACATCTATCAGTGTCATATATTTGTGGGACTTTATAACACAGAGAAAAACATGATAAAATACATGTATATATATACTTGAATAAGTAAAACAATATGAAGACAACACTTAACAATCAAGAAAGAAGATGAAACAAGTATGATGTGAGTACATCCAGAATCCCAATCAATGGACTCTATAGATTGATAAACCAATACATCGGCAAAGTAATACAATAATGGCCTAAATCAATCTAGAACCAAAATCAAAGACTCAACAACATGGCATTCTTTATAAGATGGCTGATCAACACATCATAAAAAGAAAATGGTGTAAATGAATTAACAAATTTCCAGAAGGAAAAAAAAAGTAAATCATTATGACCTGAGTGAGTCAGGAAGAAATGAAAAGATTCAGATTTTTTTTTCCCCAACATACTTCAAATTATGGTGGTTGACTTAGGTCTTTATTGTAGCACAATGACAAAATACACGAAAGAGCATTACATCTGTTAAAACAGAGCATTACATCTCAATTTTCATGTTGAACTTGACATAGCACTTTGCTGTCTGCCCTTCGTATTTCAAACAAGGACTGTGCAGGTTATGACAGCAGTCACCAACAGAAAGCAAAGAATTACAGCTACTTTTGTATTATTTAGAAGAACTTCAAACACTTGTGAATTTAGTGATTGTTGGGAGTCCTGGAATGCCCTGAAGACAAATTGTGTCTTTGTACATGAGACATACAATGCCAGATGTAAAAAAGGAATTTGATTAAAATGGCAAAGGATAGATGAAAGAATAACCGGACAACATAAACCATTAATAATTTATTTTTGATACAAAACTGTGATTATACACATCAAAAGAAAGAAATTATCAGTAAACAAAAGAAAGGGGAAAAAAATTTACAATCATTCATTGTGAATTGGCCACTTTTGAAAGGACAGGAGTTTGCTTTGGTTTAAAACTGACATTGCACATGTAAAGGCGCTTCAGTACCATACGAACAATTTTGAACATTTTCATACCGTCTGTGTCGCAAGCAATTGCTTTAAGTCCTTTTGGGTACTTTTTACGCTTGAGACAAAAAAATAGTTTTTGTTGTGTTATTCCTATCAGGAATTATTGAAAGCAAGAAAATTGTTAGCCTTGACCATTGATTTAAACTGCATTTTGGTGATGTTGAAAGGGGCATCCTGGGTTGAGCTTTGAGAGAGAGTGAAAAATAAAGAATTCTCAAAATTTAGACTGAAGTGGACAACTTTCAAAAGCAACAATATACTTAGACTTAGATCAAGCCAGTAGTCCCCAAACTATAGACTACTAACACCGGTGGGAAGGAGGGAAGAAAATTGGGATTGAGAGAAAGCCAAAGATGTATCACCTCTTTAAAGTGTAAGGCTCCTGGTACATCCATTACCCTAGATGGAAAGGAGGAGTTCCAGTGGGATTTGAAAGAGTGGGGGAGTGGGGGAGAAGTTTGGGAAACACTTGGCTAAAGTTTCAAATAGTGCAAAATTTACTCAATTATCAATTCCACAGTAACAGCATTTCCTTTCAAAGCTTATCAATTCCACAGTAACAGCATTTCCTTTCAAAGCTCAAGATGTGCTTTCAGATCAATCTAGATGAGTCAAAGTTTGGCAGGCGTGAATTCAAAGTCTCAACAGCACCAACCCACTAAATTTCACTTCAATTTTTTCAACAAATTTGAGTGCAGTAAAAAAAATTGGTTTCACTCCCCTTGCAACACTAAGATAATTCAAGAGACGGGACCTCCGAATTTAATGTCCATCTTCTATAGGACCAAACCAAATGAGAACATTCATGTAAAGTGCCTACTTTTCCAAGGACACAACGTTGAGTTTTGAACTCCCGACCCCGCAATCTCATGATTACCAGTCCGGTAGTCTAACCATTTAACTACCAACATCACCCCATAAGACCACCGACACCACCCTAAAATGACAGAGAATTATGAATGCTATTGACCCTTTGCAAGCTAGGTTATTACAATAACAACAGGACAAAGCAACAGGCACTTCTACAGTTCAATGTTGGGGGCATAAAACTATGTACAATATACACACTCTTATCACTCGATAGCATTGCAGCTGTCTCATAAAACAGTAGTATGGAGTTCAAGTCCCTGATAATGGTCAGGTGGGAGTGCTGATTCAACATATTTTAAAGAAGAGCACTGCTCAATATGTAGATTTTGTTGAGCAAAACACGCTGACCAATTACCCCAAACTTAAACAGATGTAGCTCAACAGTTACAAGAATTACTGCAGGGTGCTGTACTGTTAGGAGTCAAAAACATGCATAAATGATCGTGTATACTTGAAAACTAGCTCATCATTCATTCAGGGTAGAGAGATTTGCAACTTTTTTCCTTTTTTTCTGATTAAAGAGAGGCATAGCCAATACTCAATACTGTTTTTAAATTAATAAGATGAATATTTGGAGAGATTTACTTTTAGTGATAACAAAATGTTATTTGTTACTGTTGTATTGTACTGCAAGCGCTCAGAGCCTGTGTACTTTAATCTGGGTTGAGCGCTATATAAATGTCATTTATTATTGTCATTATTATTTACTCATCATTTAAAAACAAACAGAATACCTTGAAACTGAACTTCACATCAACAATAATTATTATATGCCACAAGGATGTTAGAACACATGGAATCACAAAGCTGAAACTGCTGATGAAAATGAACGAGCTGCAGAAGGCAATGAATTGTCAAAAACTATATGTCATGATAACCACTGATGAATGAGAAGTACAAAATTGTTATGCTGGTGCTGTATAAGCGATAAAACATAAGAAATGGTACATTCACCTTTCCCACATGTGACACCCCCCCCCCCCCCCTGCTACACCCAAACTCCGTCTCTCACATCACATATTCTTAAAAAAAAAAAAAAATACAATTTCGTAAAACGAGAAACAAAAGAAATGTTAAGTGCACATACTGATTACACATGTCTAAAAACACCCCCCCCCCAAAAAAAAAAACCCAACAAGGTGTGCAAATTCAAAGAGTAAGCTGATTGTTCAGCCAGTATCCAGTACGGCAGAACAAGATGCAAGTTCAAAACCTAGCAATAATCATGTACATAGATTAAAAAAAGCAAACTCGTAATGGTAATTGACCAAAAAACAACGTTCAGCAGATTCAACACAAAGAAATAAAACAAGTTAGCAGAAACACGGAGAAGCGGAAATAAATCACATGAAATACTGTCCTGTGTGCTTGGTAATAACGAAAACTAAGTGAGCAGTTCAGTTATAAGACATCCTACACGGGGACAACGCTACTCAGAAAAAACTACAGAGCTTTTGAAGGCTTGGACTACACAAGTAGTGCACTATTAAAAAAAAAAAAACAAGAAAAAAAGGGAAACAACTGTTTTCTCTTTAAGTTACAAACTGAAAAAGAAAAAAACACTACATATTCCATAAAGACAATCTTGTAGGATTTTTTCTCGTCACAGTAACCAAAAGAAAAAGATCCGATTTAGAAATCTAGAGTGAAGCTTTAAAAATTGATAAACTGCTTCGAATACTCCAAGAAATCACAAATTTCAAAGCTACAACATTAACATGATAGAAACTGGAAGCAAGCTTGATCCCTTGGCGGCAGGTCACAGGAACACAACATCAAAGTAATCCGACCCCCATCCCCATGATGAAAGCGGCAATGCATTGACAACACCAACAGTCTTCTCACCACGCCAGAACCTTCTATCTCCTCCCCCTTTTTTTCCTGAGTTTCTTTGGATTGATAAACTGCTTACATGAATTATACATGAAGAGTTTCTTTTCCAGCTGCACAATGTGGACCCTCATTTAGAGGACTTATTGATCAATACAAATAACAAAAGACATCCCAAAATTCTCGGAGGAACAGCAAAACAACAGCACGCCTGTTACTATTCTTCAAGCGCCGCGACCAAAAGCAAAGATAAGAAGAATTCAAGGAAAATCAAGGAGAATAAATAATTTTTCAGCGAACTGCAGACAATTCTAAAAAAAGAAAGAGAAAAATCCTGAAAATACCCGCCCAGCACATTTCTTCAGCATAAACAGGCATCTCAGGAGAAGCAGAGTTTAGTAAAGAGGTAGTTGAGGAGACCATTATGCTCACAACAACAGAAATACATGAGCTGCAGAAATACAGTGGAATCTGCTTACAATAAACCGACAGGTACCTAACTTTGCTTTGAGTTTAAACCGGGTTTGAAAGCAAATTGGAAACATGATGACTTAGGTATAAAACAACTATTTTCTTTACGTAAGCAAAAATCATTAGTCTTTCTACACCTGTTTGATCACAAAAAGTAAAAATATCACAATCTAATCACCACAAAAAGATGCAATGACAAGAGCAATCCAGTCAGTCCATGCTCAGAACATCACAAGCTCAAACAACTGTAGAGACCATTTTCCAAAATTATGTATGCTTCTGCTATGTGTTCGTCTTGTTTATTTGCTCTTGCAGGCACACACAGTCTGAGCCTTCACTGTCAATTGATTCGGTAGTTTTTGGCCACTGTTATTCACCTCAATAATTTTGGAAACCTGATACTTTGACCATTTTCAGTTCAATATCACTTTCCAATGCATTTCCTATTGAATACACATTGGTATATTTACCTTTTGATTGATTCACTTTGCCTTACAGAGGTTCTGAAAATGCAATTGACACTGAGGCAATTTTTTCACTAGATGAGTGACTGATAGGTGCTGGACCCAGGGGAACTTCTGTGGAAGCAAGCAGCCACAAAACGGATCAGAGTCAAAGGAAAGGTTCAATTCTCTGCCAGTCTATTACAAAAGGACCCCACTGTTGACACAAAACAATAAAAGGAAAGAGACAGAGAAAATGTTCACGGGAAAGCAGTTCAAACAAACTGGTAGTTCTCCCGGCCAGCGTGGAAGTTGGAGGCTTGGTAGTTGGGCCCAGAGTCCGAGTCCAGGGTGAATTTTGTCGTCCAGTCCACCTTAAGGGGTCGGCACAACCCACAGCAACGCCAGCCCATCACATCCACCACATTCTTCACAACTCCTCGGCTGTAAAAAGAACAATTTCATGGGGTTTTTTACTACATCTTTTTCTCATTGGGAAAAAAAAGGCAAAAGAGGCATGGAAGACCAAGAACAATTGACTTATTTAGAGAATTTTCACAGAAGAGTGATTGGGAAAGACCAGGACAACATTAAATGGTTTTAAAAGCACCCTAGCAGAGAAATGAGTAGCAAACCATGATTGCAGATGTCTGCCTCGGATAAAGCTCTACATGATGTCATTTGTTTTTTGTCTTTTTCCCACTGCAGGGTTATCTTCTTGTTGCAGCCTCACCAATGACGTCCATTTTCAGTGGACCGAAATCCTCCTATTATCCAAATTTGCAAATGTGTTGTTGGGGTCAGCAACCAGGATGGTACGCATCACACTGAGCTCAGACGGGCTTTTCATTGCTCTCTATATTCACCATGATGCAAAAATAACTACCGCCATCATCATTTTTCTCTCTCAGCACAGACTATGCTGTAAAAAGTGCTACCTGCATGAGTTTTTGTCCTCTGCGTCCACTATGATTAAAAAAGAACTCCCAGCTTTATATTTCTTTTCTCATTCTTCGTCTGCAACAGTATCTTTTTTTCCGTCCCTGTGCCCACAATGACACAAAAAGAGCTGCTGGCATAATTATTTTTCTCTCTCCATTCTGAAGCAACAAGAACGACCAGCATTACTTTTTTTTTCCTCTCTCTGCATCCGCCACGATGTAAAGAGAGACACGTTCATTATTTTTTTTCTCTCTAATCATATACTGTGAGGCGGAAAAAAAAAAGCCCCAAAAACCAAACTGCCATCATGCTGTGACAAGGACTTACTTAAATGGTGAGACAACCTTGGGCGTTGGTTTCCCCCCATGGCAGTGTCCATGACCCCCATGATTGTGGCCGTGTCCCCCTTGGTCTCTCTTACATCCCTCCTCTGGGCCCGGCATCTTCTGCATGTGGGAGTACCGCATCTGGTTCAGGCGCTCGTTGGTAGTCATGGCCAGCCATGAGATCTGCAGGGAAGAAAAAGACAAATTGAAGGGTAAAGAAAAATGGAATCAGCCCCCCAGCAGTCTTCAATTATTTTAAACAGTTTGTCTTTAATAGCCTGTTTGCAAATCATGTCAGTCATTACTGAGGCTTACACTCAATTATTTGCTTTCTTTTTCACACATCATGCTGGCTTTTTTGTTATAGGCTACCAGAATAATTCTACTAGACAATTTCTTTTAAATTATTTGCTAGATGTATACTCCTTTGATTTTTTACAGGACAGAAACCCATTATCTTTGTGCAATCTCATTAACAAACTCTTATGAACTAGTGGTGACTGAACACAAACTAATAGGAATCTTTTCAATCCAAACTGCAAAAATTATACAAGAAAAACATAAAAAGATTCAAAATATGATATCTAGCAGACTTCATCTCAATTTCATTAAAAGCTAGTTTCTTCAACAGAGAAGTATCCTATACTTCTTAAAAGTTTGTAGAGGAAGAGGACTTTTGTTTTTGCTAACTTCTAGCTTTTAAGAAGGTAAGAAGACTCAAAGGATATATTTTTCTTATACAAATAATACACTTGAATGCCTTCAGACATATAAAAAAAAGGTATTAATTTTATTTTCATTCACTTCTGCCTCTTTGTGTTGGATCTCATATTCATAAAAAAAACAGGATTCAGATATGTCAAGCAATTTTTCCTAATCAATGGATAAAAGAGAACACCACTAACAAAAAGCTGGTAGAAGGAATGGCTGGACTACAAGGAACTATAAGCACTCACCTGGTACATCTGGCAGACAAAGAGAGAGGACACCCACACAATGTGGAACAAGGCATTTAGGCCAATCCAGGCAATCCAGGGAGACGCCTTGAACAGCTTGTAAAGGACGCCCGTGATGCCATCTTCATAGAAGGCAATTGGGCAGTTTACAGACCAAACTAAGGAGATAGGAAGGTGGGAGGAGGGAAATATGCATTATTTGTAAGAAGTTTGGAGGAGAACGTTTTCTTGTTACCTTTCAGTTATTTGAAACTCCCTTCCACAATCTATAAGGGAAGATCAAACCTTGTCAAAATGTAAAACACTTAAAAAAACCATACAATTCTTATGGTATGGGTCAAACTTAGTCTTTGGCCTAGAATGATTTTTCTCTTCTCCATATGAATGTGTTACGGCAAGCTTTTCCAGCATATCATTTTTGTTGTCAATAAACCCTTAATAGCCTTCTTAAAAATGTACTTCTGATGTCTGTCTAAGCTTAATGTCCAGATTATGAGAGTATTGTTTGAAAGAGGGTGTGCTCGTGATACAGAGAGAATAAGAAAGAGAGAAAGAAAAAACAGAGTTTTGCCATGTGGTAAAAGAACTACTTCAGCCCGACCCTGCTTTATGGGTAGAGTTAAACATTTTAAGTGGCTAAATTTCCTTGTGACAGTGATGACGGTATACATGTACATAAATCTTTGTGAAAAATAGTGAAATGGTATAGGTTTAACGCCCCTTTCAACACTAGTAGGTTATTTAAGAGGCAGGACCTCCGAGCTTAACGTCCATCTCCGAAAGGACCGAGCCAAATAGAAAATTTGGTAAAGTGCCTTTACCAATGACAAAATGTCAGACTGAGCTGAGGCTTGAACCCCGAACCTGAAATCTCATGATTACGGGTGCTACCTACTCCACATATAGCTTTGTGAATTAAATCAAGTCCATTTATAACAGAAAAATACCATTCTTATATCAAAACCCTGATCTCGTGTCAATCAAAATCCCCAAAAGATGAACGCACTGGTTTTTTCCCTTTTTCTTTTCTTTTTCCAGAAAACAGAAATTGAAATTATTACGTAAACACTAAAAACACATAGCAACCAACACCCTGAACACACTGTAAATCAGTATGAATGTCACATCACTTACATAGATGGCATCCATAAAGGCAGAATATTAACATTCCTGAGAGGAAAAACAAGTATCCCATGAAATACTTGTGGTTGTTCGCACCTGGAGATAACAAAAAATTATTGAGAGACTCATACTTAGAGATGCCTAGAAACTAAAATAAAGCAACACACAAACACTAAATACCATAAAGGAATTATTTATATTCCTTAAAGGACTTTTTCTTTCACGTAAAACAGCAGCTGAAGACATGTCTCATCAAAACCAATGCAATAAATTTCTTACTTTAATAAATCAAGGGAGTGGAAAGTCCAAAAGCTAATAAGAAAACTAAATTAAACACTAAAAACAATCATAAGTTTTCATTAAATTGATTAAATTGATATCATAATTAACTAAAAGTAAAGTTCATACTTAATTAACATTTTAAATACAAGCTGTAAAATCTTCGTAACACCCACTGTCATTTTTTCAATTCTAATTTCTGTACTACACAAAAGGCTGAATAGAAATAATTGCAACATTAAGAGATATGCCTCACACTGTGCAGTTCCAAAGAAATATTTTCTTTATTTGTTTTGGTAGATGTTTTACGCTGTTCTACTGTATGGTTCAGAGACATGGAGGCTCAAAGGATCCACAGCAAAGAAACTGCAGAGCTTCATAAATGGATGCCTAAGAAGCATAGTGGGGATCAAGTGGTACAATCAAGTCACAAATGCTCAACTGTGGGAAAGAACATGCCAAAGGCCAGTAAAGGAAGATATAAAAATGAAGAAATGGAAATGGATTGGGCACACCCTGAGGTGACCCCCGACAAGCATCATCAGACAGGCTTTGACATGGAATCAACAAGAAAAATGTAAGAAAGGAAGACCAAAGACGACATGGAGGTGAGCGGTACATGCGGAAAAGGAAAAGGCGGACTCATGGAAACAGCTAGAAAAGGATGCACAGGACAAGTTTCCCTGGACAAATCTTGTTGATGGCCTATGCTCCACTGGGAGTTAAAAAGGGCAAGAGAGAGGTGATTTATGGTACTGACAACTGTATAAAGTCATACGAGAGCGCAGGACACATTAAACAATTTTAGTTCGGTAGAAATTAATTTTGAATTTAGCCTGGGTGGCAGCCGAAGCCTACTCTTATCGATTTTGGACCACCAAGGGATCTTTAACATGTGCAACTTGCACACAAGACTTGCAAGATTTTTTGGCCTTATCAGAGAAGGCTACGAGTTAGATTTTACTTACCCTAAGATCAGGGGTGCGACTGAAAGACAACAGTAACAAGGAGTAGCAGTAGAAAGGCTGCAGACAGAGTCAGAAGCACAGAGGAGGGGGCAAAGAGGGAAGGGGTATGGGTGCAGAAAGTGAAGATGAAAGCAGACGACAAAACATGGTGAGACTACAGGAAAGGAGGAGAAAGAAGAAAATTTAAGAGAAGAAAATTTCCCATCGCTGTAAGGTTTCAAACTCGGGACATATTGAAAGAGAGGCGAACATCGTAACCTCTAAATAACGAGAGCCCCCAATCATTTTCTGCTGGACAGGACTTTCAGTTCACACTAGGGCAAAGATGGGGCTTGACAGAAGAATTAACAAGCACAGAGAAAAGATGCCACCTCTACACCAGAGAAGTTAAGGCACATGAGAAGGGGGCCACACTGGCAGAGGAATAGAGCGCTCTCTATTGGTGGAACAGCATTACATTTATCTTCTTACCCCTTATCAAATGGATGCCATCAACTTTAACTTCTCACAAAATTTGAACACTTATTTTGGGTTTAGTATCTATACTATTCCCCTTATCATATAAGGTATAAGATAAAGGTCATATTCCCAATGCCATCATGGTTACTAGAATGCTTCATAGTCATGTTTTATTATCTGTCTAGCAGAAATTAACACCCGTTGCATATCAAAAAGGCAGAAAATATTTACATTCACGTGCTACACGAACACATCTAGCCCAATTCCAACTTGTAGATCCTGTGCAAGCTGTTGAGATGTCACACTTACCGATACAGTTACCCACCCATGGACAGTGGTGGTCAAATTTAGCAACACACCGATTGCAGACATTGCAATGTTTAGACCGGAGCGGTCTTCGAATTAAACATGTGCTGCAGAACTGTTCGAACTTCAAAGTCTGTGTTTCCGCCAACTCCAAAATTGTCTGAAGAAAGTGAAAAAACAAAACAAACCCCAGTTATTTTATTAAATTTCTAACATGAACATTTCACAGCTTTCTTGAAGTCTTAATGTCCAGAATTTTCCAAACTATGCCAGAAATCACTCAAAGGCAATTTTTAAAAAAAATCGAAACACTTCAGAGTTATGAAAAACAACTTTTGCCATGCATCAGTTGTTCACTTTCAAAGCACTGAACGAAGCTTACAATTTACATATAAACTTGAAATTATGAGCAATACAAGCTTTCTGCAATGCACATTGTCACAGCAAATTCTTGAACATGAAAGAAAGACATCAGAATTATGAAGACAACGAGAAATCTGCTTCATTCAAAGAACAGATCACCATAATAATTTGTTGAACTGGGACTGGGAGAGATCACATCCTTGCAGTTCGCAGTCCTCAATTTTTAGACCAAATTTTCATAGCTAGCAAAATGTCAACTGAACACATGGACTGAAAAGGGGGGTGAGGGAGGAGGAGGTCTTGGAACATACCATATCCCTCCTCACTAGACACTAGAGCTGTGCCCATTCGACTTTACTATTCGACATTCATGATTTTTGCACTATTCACAGCTATTCGAAGCGTGGCAGAGTCATTTGAAAGCCGTGTGACTCTTTTTTTTAAACATATAATCGATTTTCCTCTCATTTTTCTAAAACGTAGAAAAGTTGGAGCACATTATATCTAACATCATTAAGATAAATAAATATTTATCATACAGAAATACTCTTTATTTGATAGTTACGAGACAGAGTGATAAGAGGAGCCTACAAGAGTTATAAAAGAACCCTTTAGAGAATATCTCTCACTATACAATATTCACTCGTCACACTATGGACAGCTCAAGCAAGGGCACATGATTCTTGAAGCGCAGCGAAAGTTATTTTTCCATGAAGTTAGCTGTCGCAATGAGCTCCCCTAACCCTACTCGAAATTTGAAGTGCTATGCACGGTGACGAGATGTCAACCCGTTGCAGTGTCTGTGCGCATGCGACAACAACACACGCGCGTTCAGTGGCTGGCGTTGAACAGCGGAAGTCAGATCTGGAATATCACACTATAAGAAAAAACAATTCGGCGGCGTTTTGAATTGTGTAAGTTAGATCTGGGCTTATCACATATAAGAAAAAACGATTCGACAGGGCTTCGAATTGCGTAAGTTAGATCTAGGCTTATCACATATAAGAAAATACGATTCGACTGCGCTGTGAATAGCTAGCGAATGTAGAAATTAGGTCCAGGTTTATGTTTATTATATATAAGAAAAAAAACATTTGACGGTGGTATTCGAATGCCATGAACAGTGAGCTCACGCTTCAAAGCTTCGATGATTTTTTGTTTCCTCAAAATTGCACAGCACTACTAGATACTCAGGAAATGTTAAGTCAAGCCACATACCTAAACAGAGCAGTAAGACAATCTTCTCTCACCTTTATTTTATCCTCTCTGTTACTCTTGAGATAGCCTGGGTCCGTTCTCCATGCTTTCCAAAAGTTGAAAGACAACAAGAGTGTGTTCAGGGTAAAAATGATATGGATGGTGGGGTCACTACCAAAATCTGGCAAAGGCTGTCAAGGAACTTGAAATAAACTTTTGAAATGAAAAACAACAGAAACTCATATTGATTTGATTTTACATGGCAATACAATTTCAAGAACAAAAAAGAAAAAGCTAACCATCTACTACTATTGTGGTGATGGACAAAATAAACATACATTTCACTTTTATGTCATAATAATATCATTTGGCAGGTATAAAGGGACGAACACAAAGTGAAAAATCTCTTGCCGGGACAGGCATGTACATATCCCAATGATCTTTATCTCTGCACTCAGAAACTGAGAATAGAAAAAGAAGTACATAACAAATATCAAGACTTCTATCTCAACCCAAAATATCATATGACGGTCCAATTGCTTTTCTCAAGACAACCCTGATAATCCTCATGCAGTATCTGTCATAATTTTGTTACTCATTAAACATATTTTTTCTTCCTCACTTTCCATTCTTCCAGTGAAGAAACATGGCAATTATAATATTTTCATGCTCACAAAGATAATAGTTTTATAATTTGGAAAAATATACGGGGCTCTCATGCCAAGAGGTTAAGGTGTTTGCCTCTCATTCAAAGATCGCGGGTTCGAATTAGGGTAGTGACCTAAAAATTTCCTTCTCTAAAATTGTCTCTTTTCACATCCTTTCCTGCTCTCTAGCAATATTACGTCGTCTGCTTTCGTCTCCACTTTCTGCCCCCACCCCTCACCTCCTTTGCCACTTCCTCTGGAGCTCCTGACTCTTTCTGCGGTCTTTCTACTACTACTCCTTGGCTCCTTCTTACTGCTGTCTTTCGGCCACACCCCTGATCTTCTGGTAGGAAAGATCTACACCTAGCCTTCTCGGACAAGGGCAAAAAATCTCGGAGGTCCTGTGAGCGAGTTGAGCACGTTTAAGATCCCTTGATGGTCTAAAATCGATAAGAGTAGGCTTCGGCCGCCACCCGGGCAAAATTCAAAGTTTCCTACCAACTAAAAATGTTTAATGTGTCACTCATATGAACTTATGCAGTTGTGTGCTCCATAAAACACTTATTTTAAAAAAATTTTTTTTTATATATATATATATATAATATATACACAGTACATGCCAAATCAATAATTAAGGAAGAGCTCAATGCCTACTTTTTACTATTGCCACAGGCTTTGAAATGTAATGTACCTATGATAGAACAATTTATTATATCAAATAAAATGTTAAAAGCTATAAGAAAAGTTACTAAATGCACATAACTATTGAGCAAGTTAAAGTTTCATAAACTATATCTTATATTTTGCACATTTCTGTGAGACTTACGATTACTGCTTTAACTCTTAATGCGGAATTATGTGCACATTTTCCCAGGAACCTTTATTTCCCAACAGGGCTTACTTAATATGCTAATCGAGGTCCACAATGTAAAGAAATATGGTCATCTCACATATTAAATCCAAGGAAATGCATGCACAAACAAACATAACACGAATAATATGTACGTCTTCTCTTTGTTGAATAAATCATACTTGAAAAACATCTGACAGCATAAAAATCTGAATCTGATTCCTGTTTTGATCGCTGTCTTCCAACACTATTATTCTCCTATGCTTAGGCTACTGCTGTGATCCAGACATCATTGTCTTAGACATAGCTGTCATCAACCAAACAAGGGTCAACCAAGGGTCAACAAAATTCTCAAAGACAGTACATGTCCAATCAATACATTTACTTCTTCAACTAACACCAAATTGGATGTAAACATACTTCGACTGAACCAGACAGAACACGGAGAAGAAAACATAATGAGAAATTATAATGAATGCTGACAGCATTCTTCCATAGTTTCAAGACTTTTACTACTTATGTTGTGAGCGGCGTTTGTGTTTTAAGAGTTAATGATTAATGATTATGACAAAAATTACTCATGAAAAAGCTTTTTATAGGCCTACAGACTAATGATATACAATATAATAAAGATCACTTCTATAGTGCCCACTCCCCGGAAGCACTAGGTGCTTATGATGAAAGACAGCTGACCAACCAAGAATGTTCTTGAGGATAGCTCATCATAGCAGATTCTCTTTCGGGCAGTGTAAAGGCATTTGTAAACGATTCTTTAGTTTGCTGCATTTACCAATTTACCAAACCAAAGCACCTCACAGACATAGGGGGGATACTGGCATAAATATCAAAGCATTTCTCAGCAAACTAAAAGGATACATGGTAGCAAATAGAAGAGCCAGGTGAAATACATCCAGAACTTGGTGGACAGGTATACAGCAAGAGGGATAGTATTGGCCGCATCTTCGTCAACAAAGTGTCTGAAACGAAAAGTAAAACAATGAAGCAATAAAAAAATAACACTATTTCAGTTCACGATATACTCAACTTACTTTGGTATGAAAAAAAATTGGGGCTGCCCTTAACATATTAACACTAAAATAGTAGGATCGAAGTTAGACTCATCATAATTATGAAATATTTTATTCACCATCACTGATCACTACTACTTGCTTCAACTAAAGCTATTCCTAGACCTAGCACCAAATTCACTGCCACTAATCTCTACAGACTTCCACTAGCCTCTACTGGGCTCTGAACCTACTACGTAACTTGGGTTAGCATTGCAGTCCTCTTCTTCAGCACTAAAAAAGTCTAGATCCAACCCTCGTTGATATATAATGGGTCCACCAGTTCGATAATGTTGCAAGGTTGCTCGATCACCATTGTCAGAAAAAAAAAATCTATAATTTTATTCAGTTTTGAGGGGATATAACTCAAACAATTTTCAAGCAACATACCCTGAAAGACCAGACCCGGATAAAAGTTAAAGTGTGGGGAAAAAAGAGTAGGAAACTTGAACCTCAGGGGTTTCGGTATTGGCAGTCAGCAGTACATTAAAAAAATCCCCAAAAATCCTCGTGTTTGGCAGTGAGTGAACTCAAACACAAAGAATTCCTCCTGGGCTTGCAGAAATCATGTTTCTAGACATTCGTAGAAGTTCTTAAAGAATAAAGTTAAAAAAAAAGGAAAATCCATATTTTGTGAGATTGTTTCAGAGGCATTTTTCAAAGGTCTGTCAAGACATCCTAAACTGGAAAATTTTGCTGAACATGCACATCTGCAAGGTTCATTTTTTAAAAACCTGGACATGTCCGAGAAAAGTAAAAAGTGTATTTAAACAGGACGAAGTTCTAGAATGCATGCTAAAGGAATGTTACAGAAGTCGTCCACTTTGACATAGGTCAATAATAACTTTAATTTTTTAAATTACAAACATTGCATGAAAGATGTAAGGTTTAGTTTTCTTAATCAAGACTATGAGTGAGAGTGGCATTATTTTCCCTTTCATATAATAAGGGTACCACTAAATATGCCTTGTAACATTCCAAACACAGAACCCACTTAGAGTGCTGTTTTTCCTCCATATATGGTTTCTTCTTGCTAATTCCAATTAGGAATGAGTTTTAATCAGGACAAACATTTTTGCTTATTTTAGTAAGTACAAGAGTATCACGGCATTTGCAACAAAATACGGTCGTATAAGTTCTAAAGATTAGAAATGTTACTAAAGAGTAACAACCACAAAAAAGAAGGAGGGGAGATAAGGTGGACAGATATTTAATAGGAAAGAAGGAGAAAACCACATCAGAGCACCTGCCTACCGCAGGCAAGAAAAATTATTATTAGAGGAAATTCAAAAGCATAAAGCATATTCATTCCTGTCTGTCCAGTATCATTCCTAACAGATTTTTATTGTGCCATTCCGTTAAATCTATGGTTTGCTATTTTTCTGCATCACATCTGCTAATCCTCTTAGCACCATAAATAGGTCAGTACAGCAGAACCAAAATGGTGGCCAGCTAGAACCGGATTATTTCAGAGGTTTTCAGAGGTTCAGGGGGAGTAGCAAACAAATAGCTTTTGTTTTTGATCAAAGTGCCAGTTTCAATGAAATTTCACAAAGACCTGGTACATCAGCATCTAAATTTAGAGAGGAAAGTTCTTATTTCTAAGCCTGCACTAAATGCGGGTGTGTCAGGCAGGTAAAAGCCGGTATGGCTCTAATAATATTACTAAATAACATTTGTGTAGAGCATACCCCTGCTTAACAGCAAGGTCTATGGGCTTTACACCTCATCGACACAATTTAGATCATTTAGGAGGTGGGCTTCCAGCCTTGCCTGTCAGGGCCAACTTGGACTGAGACAGATACAACATCCTAACAGAAAAACCAAGATGCTTGATAAAAATTCTCCTTACTAGGGAATCGAGATCAGGTCTCCTATGAGCCAAAGTAAAGTGCCTAACCCTTTCCCCACAAACACCTGTTGCATTATTCCTATCAATGCTGAAAAGAAATGCATATGTCCTGAAGGTACAAAATCAGCATAAACCTGAGCTTCGCAATTTTTGCATATCATTTAGGGATAACATCTAAATAACAGATCTACATTTATCTAAGATATTTTGAATTTTGACCCTTCATGTCATAAAAAATTGCCACTACCGATGGTCTAATCCATACAAATTATTCTTTTAGGTCACATGATATTGCATTAATTCCATGGGAATGGAGTGGTCACTACAATGGTGATAGATTATATTACACTAACATATCAGAAACGGATATAACTGCAGATCATGAAATGTCATCTGATACTTAAGTGAAAAGGAAATGATGAAATCATTTTCATCCCTTCAGGGTAGGCATGCCATTAAAAACTGACATGCAGTCTCATCATATTTACATGTAATCCTTAATTTTCATTTCACAGCATCATTTGCTGATTCACCAATAATTTTCAAGTAAACTACATCCACGACCACATTACAGGCTTCCATAAAATGTTTCCACATAACATAATATGTGAAAATGAATTGTTGTTTGAAAGCATCTTAAAGAACAAATTTTCTTCAAAAACATGCTATATACAGTACCAACTTAGAAAAAAATTGTTTAACTTTCCAAACAACTCAAGCGATAAATGAACACAAATCATGATACAATAAGGACCCATATGACTTACTTCATCGTGTAATGAGTTGCCGCAGCAAAAGGAATGAACATTAAAAGCTTGTAGCCCCAGGCAACACTCATCTCTGGGATGTATCCAATGAGAAACAGAGCAATAAAAGGAAAAACGTAGCACACTCTTCGTCTAAAAATCTGTAATGAGAAAAACAACAAACACACGCAAAAACAAATTAAATTAAGCCACTCAAAACATAAAATTCATTGTTTTTAAAAACAGGAATCAAAATCTTAATTCGCATTAAGCTTTTAGTCTAAATTTTTAGACTGGCCCTATCTATGTGGTAATAGTTTTGGGTCTGTGCAGTAGCAAGCAGAAGGCATAAATTTGAATCACAAGTGGGGAAGTTTATTTGATTGAGTATCTCAGTCAGATGTACCCAAGTTGACCTGATTTAATTTGGTTTTATGTGTGTTTTGGGGGGGGGGGGGTGTTTATAATTGATTGTGCATGTTTCATGCCCCGGTCGGAACAGTCTAGACTGCTTCAGAGGTGACTTGTCTGGCACTTACATGAATGGTCAGACAAGTCACCTACGAAACAATCTAAACTTTACCAACAAGGGCATGAAACATGCAGAATCAATTGTAACTCCTCTCCCTCCCCCCCCTCCCCTTTTAAACTTAAGATCTTGTTTATTCAAGTTAATGGCAGCACAGTAGCAAAGTAAAAATTTTTCTACTTAAGCCTGTCCAGGATATTTCGGATGAAGAGGGTTGGGTCCTGTTTATTTGTTTGATTGAGTAAGTTTCAGTAAGAGTTTTACGGCACTCGCAACACAATAAGGTCATAGAAGTGTCGAAGATTAGAGGTGTTACAAGAGAATAACAAATACAAATAAGAAGGACAGATCAGGCCAACAGCTGTTTGTAGGAAAGAAGGAGCAAACCACACCAAAGCACCCGCCAACCACCCGCTGAGTGAGTTAAAAAAAAGCACATCAACACAATTTATCCAGTTATTAAGTGCAGGGAAAAAGCAAGACAGACAGAGAGAAACAAAACAGGGTAAGAAAAGAAGTAAGACCTACCAGAGGCACACCTAACCACCCACTCTGGAGGGATCAGGGCTCAAAGGGTTTACAGGTCGTTGTCATTGTTGTTTTCAAATCCCTTTAGCTGCGAGCATTTCGCATTTTTTACAGGTAAATACAACGAAATAAGAACAATATATATGTAAGAAAGAAGCCAAATGATATAAGAGAGGACGAATAAAGCAAGAAAGATAAAGAGACAAGACACACAGGTAAGTAGAAAGAGCGGTAAGATCAAACCAGATCAGAACAGAGAAACTATACTATTTACTGTTTCAAGATATTACTACTATGGTGTTGAATTTTAAAATTTACAGATTCTGAGACCAAACTCTAAGACGTAAGAGAAAGGGTTCAAACACTTCCAACCACGCTTACCTTATCTGCGGCATATTTCCCAAGGAAGCTCTGTTTTGTTGCCTGTGCAGTAGCCTGCATCGCTCTCAGCTTCTTCACCAACTCAGCATTACACTGGCTGATGGCAATGTCAAGAGGGGAGTCGCCCTGGAATGAAAGGGAGAACTTCTAGAAATATCTAAAATTATTGGAAAGTTCTAGAAATATCTGAAATGAGAGAAAAGTTCTAGTCACATCTGATATACGAGACAAGTCCAGGAAAAATCTGGAAAAAAAGTGATTTTAGAAATACCCAGAATGAGAGAAATCCAAGAAATATCTGGAAGAAGAGGCAAACTCTGGAAACATTTACATCCTTTTTCTTCATAGTTACAATAACAGTACTGGACAACACATATATAGGAATCACATTATTGTAAAGTATAATTCATATATGCATAAAACTGACCAAAAACTTGAGCAAACTTCTAAAAAATGTAAATGAATTGAAAGCTTATTCGCGCCCCCTCCCCCCCCTCCCCAAATCTAATCAACAGTAACCAATAAATTAAATGAACCTTTCTCATAGACTTCCATGAAGGCAAATCTTCAACAACAAAAAAAGAATATTTTTCTACTTTGAATTTTTTTAGCACTACCCTGCTTCATGACTATCAAAACGTTAAAGGAGAAAAATCCCTTTGAGAGCCAATGCATGGTATAAAAAAAAAAGAACTACTAACACTATTAACAGGTACATATATGAAGACATTTTTTGAAAAATAATAACACCTCCATTAGTGATAGGAATTCATTTAGTCTTCTGCACAAGCCAGACAAAGAGGCAAGACACTATGCACATGTTGATAACATGCAAATGTGCAAACAATCCACATTAATCTGAAATCTGGTATTCAAAAGTAATTCAAATACGAGTTCTTTGTCCACTTTTAAATAAGTGGATTTTAAAAGATGACTGACACCACTGATATTATTCAAAAGACAGAATAAATTGGTATCCATTATTTTTGTTATAAAACATACAATAACAAATCAGGTGCCACGGAAGGAATGATAGCAAAACAAAAGAATATGTGTGTGTGCCTAAAGATAGGTAGCAAAAGTCGGATTCTAGCCATTTTGAGTTAAGGGTTGTACCTAATAGGCCATTCAATGCTGAACACAGCGTTTGTTTTAATTTTTGAGATATCTCAAGTACTTTTAGAGACATTGCACATTTCTCGAGGTAGCGTATAAAGATCTAATTTTGAGAAAATCAGCTTTTCAGTTTAGAACACACACAAACTTGAAAAAAAATGATGATTTAATTGTTTCTAATGTATTTATTTATGTAAAATTCATTTTCAATTCGGCATTCAGTCAACATCAATATCATGATTAGAATTCAATGGTAAAACATAGGGGGGAAGAGAAAACGAACTTCAAGAATAGATTTTAACACCTTTTAAAAGCAGTTTCCAATATGTTTTTAAAACATACCATATCCTCAAAATAAAATATTTAGAAGTCAAATCCATGAAAACTCTATAAACACATGGTCAAAAAAATGGCGGAACTATCATTTTTTTATGGAAACAAATTTTGGTTGAAAAAGTGATTTTTTGTCATTATCAGCCTGTAGCTCAAAATGGTCCGTGGCGACTTTTAGTACCTTTCTTTAGACACACACACATATGGCTATTTTTCCCCTAACAGGATCTCAGGGGGAAAAATTCAGCTTAGGCCGGGAATGAAAAAAAAAATGTATGAGTTGTTAAGTGTAACACTACGATGAGTGAACATCGCTCACCTTGTGATTAACAACATACATGTCAGCACCTTTGTTGAGAAGCATTTTAATCACAATATGGTTGCCTACTGAGCAAGCCCAGTGTAATGCTGTGTTCCCATGGAGCTTATCAGCTTTGTTCAGAGTTGCACCAAACGTCAGGAGGAGACGGGAAGGGTCGTAGCTGAAACGTGAAAGTTGAAAAAAAGTTTACCTGATGGTCCAGACAGGCATCTTCTCTGATCGGACTAATTCTGAACAACAGAGCGGGAGAGGGAGAGGGAGAGGGAGGGGGGCGGGGGAGAGGGGGAGAGAGAGAAAGAGAGAGAGAGAAAGAGAGAGAGAGAGAGAGAGAGAGAGAGAGAGAGAGAGAGAAAGAGAGAGAGAGAGAGCATGGTGCTAGATCACAAAGAAGGAATCAATGGAAAGACCATTTCAGAAAGAACACTCTTCTTGACCATGGTGATGGGTGTTCGTAAAGAATGTTCATAAAGCGCCTCTGTGGGTAGCATAAATGAGAGTGTATGTTTCATGATGAAGCGTGATGCCAGTCGTTTATCAAAGGTGTAAAGAAATAAGGATCTTAGGACTATAATACAAACACTGTTAATTAGTAAACAGAAAATTCAAAACAAAAAATGTGAAAAAGTACACTATAAAAAAAGAAAACGATGTCTGTGAAGAAACCATTAGGTGCTTCATTGTTGAAAGTAGGAGACCCGAGTTCAATTTCCTAGTGGAGAGACAATTACTATTGAGTATCTCAGTCCTTCTGCTGGGATACTGTTTCCCTCTCAGCCTGGGTTGGTCCTGACACGCAGAGCCAGAAGCTCGCCTCCTTAATGATCTAAATTGTGGTGATGAGGGCAAAAAACAATTACATTATAAAAAGAAAAAAAAATTTAAGAGAAAAGGGAGTAGCACATCCCATATCCACCAACCACCCGCACCTCACTAAAGAAGTCGGCACATACATACCCAAAGACACGGTGAGCAGTCCACATGAGAGGGGTCATGCCCGCCTTGTCCAGCATGTCAACATCCTGACCCTTGGCTATTAAGTACGCCACTATGGCAGTGTGACCAAACTGGGCAGCAAGGTGGATGCAGCTGCAGCCTGGATAGGAATGATTTATAATCAAACATTGCTAAAATCTTCCACATTATAAAGAAATAAAGAAATATATATAATATTATTTAATGTCCTGTGACAAAGGTCACGTCAACCATACAACCCTTGATCACGGGAAGAAATCTCACAATTCGAACTCAAAGACAAAGAAAATGCTGATAGTGATCATGTACCACTGTTTTTGAAAAGAAGATATCTTTAATTTAAACTGCCTTTCCCCTCCCTCAGCCCCATCTCTCTTTCACACTCTGAAAGTGCAAAACAAAACTCATCACAACACAAGTTCAAGTCTGAGCATTAAAAATTTTTTAAGGTGTAATCAGTGAACGAGCAAAGACGTTTTTGTCCTACAGCTAAAGTGAGATTCACAGTAAGCACTAAGAACATAAGCAAGCTTACCTTCCCCATCTCTAAGAGATGGATCAGCCCCAAAAGACATTAGCTGGACAATCATACCGAGGTGACCTTGTCTGCAGATGGACCAAAATTGCACTATAAGGTAAATATTGAACTAGCATCTTCACCCACTTAAGGGGAGAAAAGACTTGATTTCACTCTAAAGTTCAAGTTGGCGGTTCGTATTGAACACCCCCCCCCCTCAAAAAAAAATAATTATAAAGACGTTAAAACAGGTCTGGATAGTTTAACCTTATCCGTATGCCCTGGGGTCATTTTGTATCATCGGGGTTGTATTCTTCACATTTTAGAATAGTTCTAGTACAAAGATCTCTTTGAAAATTTCAGTATTTCTCAAAAAATCATTTTGACAGACTGCCATGCAAAGCATACGGATCGGATTAACAAGTAAATTTCCTCTTTGGAAAGTGGTGGCACAGAGTTCCCCACGTCGTATGGATACGATAGTAAAACACGACGAACGGATAGGGTTAAGGGTATTCAATTTTCTAAATGCTGACACAAAATTATCCCTCGACAATGTGTTCAAAGCCAGCATCTACCCCCAAGAAACCAAACAAGCCACACATGAGTTTCTCAAAACTGCATTTCAGCAGCATATTAAAAAGTTTTTTCGTTTCCCCAACATGAAAAGAAAATAAATGTCTACAATTACAAACAAAAAATAAGTGTATCATATGAGAGAGACAACAGTTAGAACAAACATGCAACTATTACCGAATGGCATCATGCAGAAGAGTTAACGCTCAGATGCTACTCGATCGCTAACAACAACAACAACATGAGAGGGAGGGAGGGAGTGAGGGAGGGAGGGAGAGAGAGAGAGAGAGAGAGAGAGAGAGAGAGAGAGAGAGAGAGAGAGAGAGAGAGAGAGAGAGAGAGAGAGAGAGAGAGAGAGAGAGAGAGAGAATCATTTCCATTATTTAAAGAGTGTGTATTTTTGTTTATAACCTACAATTCATATCAATATTATTATACAAAAATACCAGACTCCTAAAATAACCCCTGCTGGAGTCGAATTACATTTCATAACACTTGAACTGGTAAATGAATATGCCACAATAATTTTGTATTTTAATAAACAGTATATATCTACCAGGCTCATTTATGAGACAAGGAGGTAGCAATATGAAGGAGATTGACTCTTCGTTAACAAAGAACATATCAGCAACAGATTATACCGAAGAGAGAAACAGAGAGAGAAATAAAGAGAGAGACAGAGAGAGAGAGTGGGGGAGGTAGAGAGGGAGAGAGGGAGGGAGAGAGAGAGAGAGAGGAAGGGAGGGAGAGACAGACAGAGACAGACAAACAGAAAGGATAAAACATGTGGGTTTTTTTTATTATATTTTGTTAATTTGCCCAAGTCTCCCTGGATAATCAACAACCGTTAACTGTAACAACCAATGCACATTACAGGTATGAAGTTGGTGTCCAGTTAAGAACCATAAAAACTTCAAACCACGGTTCTTGAGTGAAGATTTTGAGAGCAAGCAGTGTCCTTAAAAGCTTAAAAAACTTTGGCTTATCAAAACAAAAATAGAACTTTCCATTTCCCCTTGCGTTTTAATCTAAACAATAGCCCCATGTAAAACAATAACCTATTCAACATGACTGCGGCCACTATATTTTATTAACCAACAATTAAAAAAACCTTTCTAAGATGGCCATGCAAGTCTCTCATTTTCCAAAGTTAAATATTGGCATCTAATACTGTGTACGAGCCTTCATAATCCATTCACCTGTCATTATTATTAGTCCCTCCAATGATGAACCGATCATATTGCATTGGTCTCTTCCACAGTTTACTCAATTGACCAGTCAATAACAAATTTTCAGCTGTTGGTGAGTGGTGAGGCGTGCGATTTGTCATTGCCTAGTTAGGCCTGCCCACAAGTCAAACGCAAATCATATGTGACAGTCCTTTTTTTTTTTTTAAACTAAGAGTTTTACGGCACTTCCAACACAATAAGGTCATATGTAAGGCAGCATGGTGGAATCAGGCTCTCGTCAAAATAATCAAAGTGAAGAAACTTACATTTTTCCGCAGGTTTGTGAATTTTTCTCACATCTTTGTTTTTTGGCTCAACACCTTTCATGCTTATTAAAGAACTCATTTCTGTGTGGATTTTTCTGAAAAACGTTGATTAAAAGCACAAAAAATGTAAATTTTCAGTTACCACGGACTCCTAAGCAAAGGAAATAATTAATCTTTGACTGACAATTTCTTATTAATCTTACCTCTGAAAACAGGTGATCCCACCTCCTTCATTTGCAAATATCTCTACTTGTATTCAAGATAAATGGATTTTTTTTTTCATTCAAATAAAGAGAAGTGAACAAGCTTTAAGATGATACCAATAACTCTACATGCCACAAATTGACGAGAGCCTGATTCGACCACACCGCCTCACATATAAGTTTAGAAGATAAGAAGTGTTATAAGAGAGTAACAAACACAAAGTAGAAGGAGGAAAGATAAGGATGATAGATGTCTGATAGGAAAGAAGGTGCAAACCACACCAGAGCACCCACCAACCACCCACAACGTGACAGTCCAGAATAATGGACATCAATATGAGCTTGTGACAGAAGTGCCCTTCATTCTTTGAGCAGTGGCAAACTATTTGTCCCTTTTAAAAGAAAAAATACCCATTTTGATTTAGCCTTATAGTTTATGGCAGTCCTAAGCCTGTGACCATCCTTCGGTTGGGAGCTCAGAAGGAAATGGTTTGTTTTCTTCATTTTGATTAGTTCTGCAAAAGACAGTCACCTGTCTATGATGGACACTTTTCTCCACAAAAATGGGTTGCTGCCTTACACAGACCTTTTAGACTTTATGCACATTCGAAGGAAAAGGAAAGATGGTCATAACAAAACAGTCTTTTAATCTTTGTGTTTTTACTCTCTGGGTAATTTCAAGTGGACGGAAGAAAAAATAAGATTGCAAAGTTATGCATTACCTTGTCGCCCAGTGCAGAGGTGTCGAATTCAAGTGACCTCCAAAGCGATCGACAATTGCACCCTTTGACATGAAGTAACTGAAACCAGAAGAAAAGGGCAATTAATATAGCTATAGAGAGTAAAAGATGCTCATACAAGTAACACAAGTGTTTATGAAAGTGAGAGAGAGTGTTTGTCGGTCTGATTAATTTTAACGTGTCATGTCTATATGGTTGATTTCTAATAAGAAACACATACCTAGCTACAAACAATGAAAGACTTCATTTACTCTTCCTTGTTAAACCTGGCCAGGGTCAGGCAGGTACACATCTTGTTTCTCCCATAGGATTTCCACAAAGAACAGTTTGGATTAAATGAAAATAGGTTAAAAAAACGACAAAATGCTGTCAAGTTGTTTTTATTTCTAATGAGGAAGGCATGGCAGAGCCGGTGTCAGTAGTGAGAATTTACTTTTAGTACTTTTACTTCCAATATACACAAAAGAATCTGAATAGGGGAAGGCTGTCATGTGCATGGGATGTTGAACAAATCGGCGACCATCACTGGCCAAGAATGTAAACAGGAGAAAGAAAGAAAAAGATCCCCAAATATTGCGTACAGCGGATTTCAAGGTAAGGGCGTGAGAGACAACAAGGGGTTTATTTTATAAATAAAATTCTCCAGTTGTACTGTTTGGTATTCAATTTGTGTTGTTTTGTCTGTTTTTGAGCCCAACAAACACGAGAATAAAAAATAAGTGTTAGCATTATTTTGTTTGACATTTTGCGTAAAGGTGTCACGGACGTAAGGATTAGACTTAAGGCATTTTCCTATGTTCGCGAGTCTGACAATTTTAGTTTTAAACAGCATATTATGCTAGATTTTCTCAAAATACCGCTAGAACATGCAAGAAATATGTTTCTCTAATGTGAACAGAGGAAAAAAATAAATCTAGCATTGGTTTGAAACGGCAACAGACAGAGCGAAAAGGTAGTCGAAAATCGCGTGAGTAAGTCCGACATTTTGATGTGACATTGTGCGCCAAATTTACTTCCAAAGCAAAATAAATGTAAGTTCTTATGCTCAAGCTATGCGATACTACTCAATTCTACATCGGTTTTAGTCGTAATTAGCGAAAATTGAAGAATATATTAGTATTAGTAGATTCGAGAGTCGTTTGTGATGCACCCCTTGCGCTGAGTCTCTGACATCTTACAGTCGAACTCTGCATTTTTCAGAGATTTGCAAAAAATCACGAGGACTTTCCGTGAAGCCAAGGCTAAAAACTACTTCCGATTGCGCCATTCTTTCATTCTTTAGCACCCTTTTTGACGAGGTGGATGTTTTGTCTTGTTTTCCAAGTTTTTTCCGCACTAAGTCTCTTACGTCCGAAGCACACCAACGTCAGAATCCATTACAAATCCAACCCAATTACACGCGTTTATTTGTCATTATATCTATATTAGGTTTATATTGATTGAAAGACTGCAACACAACATGTAGCATGTGTAGAAAGAAAACAAATGATGTTAGGGACAAAAATAGCATGTTCTTTTGTGATTGTCTTGTTTGATGCCAATGAATGCTTCGAGTTGTCCAGATCGGAGCCAATGGTGATTCCGTGGTCTTATAGGCTGTTCCAACATTGGGAGAAATTTCAACTGATTTTTTTTCTTTTTCTTTTTGTTATTTCCTATTTTTTTAATTGTTTATTTCTATTAATTTCTTTTATAGAGCACATAATGATTTTTGTGGCCAGTGAATTCGATAAAATGGATAATTATACCAAATCTGGTGATATTCATGGATTGTGCTGTTGGCACCAAAGTACGTTTACATTTTATTAAATAACTTTTTTCACAGGCCTTTGCATTCTCTTTAACAATTTTAAATTCCTCTTTAAAAGGCTTTTCCAATGATATAAAATACATAACCCTTTGAAAAAATTCAAAATCCTGAAAAAAATTGGGAAAGTGGGAAACCTGTGGGTCCTCATCGTGAAATTCGCCATATATACAGAACAGTGAATGAGCTTACTTAACAATATCTGTGCGATTGTTGATAGCAGCCCAGTGCAGCAGACTGACATCTTCATGGTCCATTTGGTTGACATCGTAGCCAGACTCAACAAGTTCTCGGACTCTGTGAAACACCCCATACTGTGTGGCTCTGATAATGTCAAACGTGTTGGGGTCCTGAAAGCCTGCATTGGGGCCAGGAGGAGGGGGAGGTGGAGCAGGTGGAGTTTCTACTTCCTTTGCCGGGGCATCTGGAGCCGCTTTATTCTGAAGTAAAGAGTGGAAAGAAAAATATTTTTTTAGTTTTAGTAGAGGTTTTACAGCGCTCGCAACTGCATACGGTCATATGAGCGCCAAGGAGTGGATGTCAACAGAGAAGTCTTTACAGGGAATCAGACTTACTCTGCTCACCTCTCATGCTTCAACAGCACAAAGTCTGCTTCAACTATCAAGGCACCCCGGAAATAGTGGGTCACATGAGTGTGACAAACATACAAAAGTAGAGGAAAATGACGATAGTAAGGATTAGGAAAGAAATAGCAGCAGTTCCCTGTTGTAGTTCAGGCACAGTCACGAGCACGATATAGTCGGATCAGCCCATTTACAATTCTACTGTGCATTAGAACGAGAAATGTCCCTCCTTTGGGAATGGCCAAAGACACTTCAGTCAGTGGCACCGCTCCACGAGGTAAAAATATTTTTACATACACCAATTTGAATTTGTTTTATATAAAACCCACTGAGTCCAGTTACATGAAAATTCAGATGGACATTTCTAACATGAAAACCACACCATAGTTTTTCTTTCTTTCGTGGACTTAATCCTATCCATACGCCCTGGGGTCATTTTGTACCTCGGGGTTGTATTCTTCACATTTTAGAATACTTCTAGTGCAAAGATCTCTTCGAAAATTTCAGTATTTCTCAAAAAATCATTTTCACAGACTGCTATGCAAAGCGGATTTTGGCAATTATAATACAAATGTGGGGATTAAGAAATGTGTGTGTGTGCCTAAAGAAAGATACCAAAGGTCGCCACAGACCATTTTGAGCCACAGGCTGATAATGATAAAAAATCACTTTTTCGACCAAAAAGTGTTTCCATTTTTAAAAAATGATAGATTTAGTTCCATCATTTTTTAAAATAATGTTTTGAAAGAGTTTTAATTGATTTGACTTCTAAACATTTTTGGGGGAATTATTTTGAGGGTAGGGTATGTTTTAAAAAAGTTTTAAAAAAAATACTTTTAAAGGTGTAAAAATCTATTCTTGAAGCACAAAAGAAGTAGAGGGAAATGACGATTTCTCTTCCCCGCTATGTTTTACCACTGAATTCTAATCATGATATTGATATCAACTGAATATCAACTGAATGCCGAATTGGAAATGAATTTTCCATGAATACATTAATACATTAGAAACAATTGAATCATCGTTTTTTTTTTTTTTTACAAATTTGTATGTTCTAAACTCAAAAGCTAAAGTTCTCAAAATAAGATCTTTATACCTTACCTCGCAAAATGTGCAATATCTCAAAAACTACTTGACACATCTCAAAAATTCAAAAACCCCTGTGTTCAGCATTGAATATCCTATTAAGTACAACCCTTAACTCAAAATGGTTAAAGTCCAACTTTTGGTGCCTTTCTTTAGGCACACACACAAATGTTTGACACATCCATAATTCTAGGAAACCAATCAAATGAAAAATTTAAGAGATTTTGAAGAAATTCAAGGTGCTGAAAAATAAATTACTGTCATGGAATAACAATAGCAGATCCGCTGAAAACAGCTTTTTGAATGATGCCATATGCCTTGTCTCATTTTCAATCTGTCCAACAATCCTGTGAAGTCAATGCCAAGTTCCCGTTAGTCTGCTTAAAGTTACCAGGATGGGTAATGGCATGTGCTTGCTTGAACCACTAAAACAATGCCAGCTCGATGTTCTCTAATTTTGCAAGGCCTGACCTCGTTTTCTTTCGTGATTGTAACATCCAAGGCGGGCGTTTTCATTTTTATCTTAATTTTTTTTTAGAAACGTGAAAAGCTGTGAACTCGGGATACCAAATCTCTTACAAATTTCTGACTTTGTGCAAGATTTTTTCTCATTCAGCCTCTACAAAAATCTGATGCTTGGTTACTGTTGTCAGACAGTTGATGAAGTTTTCTCCTCTCTGCCATCATCATGAAAATAAGTCTCCCAGCATCGACAAATATTTTAAAAGCTCAGAATGTTGGTAACTGCATGCTTCTTCTTCAATGTTGAAGCTTGAGAAAGGAAGAGAACAAAATTGCTCTTACATCTGATTACGATCATGATGATGGCCACCCCACATATTCCTCTAGTGTAAATCATCTTCTCATCCACATTCATATATTCAAATAAGACCGCTCACACAAATACAATTCACAAACCATCATCATGCAAACCAACCATCTCCGCAATGGGCACCCAGTATCCTATAGAGAAAAATTCATACATAATGACGAACAAATTTCCACATCCCGCCTATTTCATTAGGCCAACAAATCAAGTGAAAGTCTAGAGTAAGTTTGCATGCCACACTAATTTTTGTCTTAACAGTTTTCCACAGGAAGTTCAGGTGTTACAACAAGAGGACAGATAGAGAACGACAACTAAACCCCATTGGCCTGTATTTATATAACAGTTATCTTGTTTGACGTCATTGAAGGATTCCCACTTTGGCAGTCATGGTGGCAACACGACCGTACGACAGCAGTTTGCTGACTCTGATTATTTTCTTTGCAGCTAGCAGAACTGTTCGGTCTTGTTGTCTGTGATTGTGCAGCACCCTTCTTCCGCCCAGATTGATTTTGATGGTGTATACTACGTAAACTGAGAAGAAGAAGAAGACTAAGAGGAAGCCTAGATCTAGATCTAAGTCATTTCGGATACGAAAGCCAGTTCAAACATAGTTCAACGACGCAGTGCAAATGATCAATCCTTTCAATACAGATCGTTTTTTTAAATAAAGTTTTGTAAGCACAAGAAATTCTGCACTTACAAGAAATTGGACTCAATACGACGCTGAACAGCAAATGGAATAGAACTCTATAAGGGAAAGAAACAAGATGGCTGTTACTATAAATATTGGCCAATGGCATTTAGTTGTCATTCTCTAGCTATCCGCTTGTAATTGACACTACCTTTCACAAAGAACTCAAACGTATTCAAGAATGGAGTAATTAAATTTTCACGCGAAGTGAGAATAAACTGTATATTATTCTCACCTGGGGTGAGAATAAAATTGATACTATTTTCACCCCAGGTGAGAATAAAACTACAGCCTACTATTCTCACCCGCATTTTTAGTTTCCACCCTTTTCTCATACCGTTTCGGGCATCATAGGACCGCTGTCGCTAAGCACTCCAGGCGACAAAACTCGTCTCCCTCTCTCACTCCGCTGAGCGCATGAGGCGACTAAAATCGCTAACAGGCGGGCCAGCTCTCGAGCGCGGGAGGCGACTATAGTCGATTTGGGGGAAAACCTTATATTATCTTCTGAGCAAATTGCGTCACCTTTTGTTGCTATTTATTGGTTCTATGATGGAAAATTTTACTCTTGAATGGTTTAACCAATCAAAATTAAGAAAAAAATAAGCCTAGGGTCAAGGCACAGCGTGCCTTAAAAATAATCGAGGGTTCTGTTAGGGATAACATGTTTTTTGTGGTGGAAACAAATGCCAATTTTAACATTACAATGACAAACTATTTCTAACATTATTTCATTTTTAAACAGCTTTCAGTTAAGGCTATTATTTTTAAAAACATAATTAACTACTCTGGCAAGTGAATTCCTTTCTGAATTTAGAATGTAATATACTTGTCTAGGGTTTTGGTGAAGATAATATTATGCTAAATCTTGTTTCATTGGGCTTCAAGACTATTTGAATCGGGGCGAGTCACGTTGAGAAAAAAATCTTTAAAAAGTGGAAGAAACTTTTTTGCCAGCTTTTACTTTCCAAACGATGAGTCTAATGAGAAACACATAAGATAAGACAGACAAATTAGATTCATTGCAGTTTTCTTTTTCTGTCAATGACAATTTAAAAGTAAAAAATTCACCGAATGTAGTGATCCTGGTGCAATGACTGGTATGGCGCAAGCACTCGCCCTAACTCGTATTAGTATGCTTACAAAAGAAGTTGACTTTACTTTCCATAACATAAGATTAAGCCATCCATCCAATTATGTCACACAGTAGCTATATTGACATTGGACAGACCAATCTACACAATATATTGTGAGTCCCGGGTTTGATAGCAGCGAAAATGCTGCAATAAACTCTTATGATGCCTGACTCTGTCACGATGAGATTCGAACCTGTTTTCTTGGTGGAAATTTATTTTCGGCAGATTTCAAGAGATAAGAGTAAGAGGAGATTCAGCTAACCAATCACTGCTGGGTGGACCGAAAAAAAAACAAAAACAAAACAAAACAAAACAACCAGGGCTGTCATGAGACCAAAGTCCATGTCATAGGTGTGACGGGTCAGTATTCTATAGACTGATCTACTGGGACCCCACCCCTGCCTTCATATGGACCCGAGAAATTACTTTCAAATTCAATCTGAAGGCCAATTCAATGCAACATATCAAGTGGCCATATTTTGTTTGTGTGCCATGCACCTGAAATGTTTTGTTTTTTTATGTTGAACTCAGTTTTCGGGTGTATAATTTATAATAATATGTTCGTTATTATAAACCTGACTTCTGGGTGGATTATGCCGTTTTTTATTCTACACCCAAAATTCGGGTATAATAATGGTGTGTAACGTTCGTTATCCTACACCAAAATTTCGATAACACAGTGATCTAATAACACATCCTACATTTAGCATCGGGTGAGAATAATTAATGACAGCCATTCAAAAATCCCTAAAAAATTTCATGTAGAGCCTATGTACGGCATACCGACACGTACGTCAGACCGGCACTAAGCACGCATTCAGCCCAAAATTGGACAACCAGACAATTATCTGATAACCTGGAATGATGTCTGCTATACAATTCCGTTCAATATTGTTTTGTTATCAAGTTCAACAATTTTGAGCAGAATCAGACACCTGTGTGAGCAGAAATAATCCATTTCATCTCCAAAGGTAAGAACCTCGTTCAGCCATTACGGCTTGCAGATGCGCAATGCGTCATGGGAAATGAGCTATTGGTCCTGTAATCGTGCCCGCAGGATTTGTTTTGCATTTTTATTCAGTTTATAAGGTGTCTAGTTACCGCCACAAACCATTCGCTGCTCTTTGTTGTAACAATTGGCGGCAGTAGGGGGGGTGCCGGTAAGGGGTACAAATTTTTTATGGATGTACCCCATACCGGTACTATATTTTTTTACATGGTGCGTGACTTGAAAAATAGTTAATTCTTCACGGACTATGGATAGCATCTTAGTACTTTAGATTTTTTAGTTTCTACGATTTTATATTATATAGATCTAGATAGATCAATTTAGACCGACTTTAGATTTTTCTTTTTTAATGTTTGAAACAAATTTATATGAAGGAAACTCTATCCCTTCCCTCCACCCGTTGTATGTAATGATGATGATGTTCCTCTGTCCAATGTATGTTGTGATGATGTTCCTCCAGCCACTGTTTCCACATGTTGTGATATTGTTTCTGCTCCTACTGCTTCTGTTTCAGAAGAAGAACTTGCTGGCCCTCCCCCAACCGCCCTTGTCCCTAGTTGTGAGTGGTCAGTTGATGCCCTAAAGTTTTCGACCACAGGTCTGGAATTATCGGGGATCGAAAGTACCTCCGAGGACTTCCTGGATCCTGCAGCAGAGTTTCAGCTACCTTTGGTTTCAACACCAACTCGGGATTATGTGGATAACCAGGACCATGACTATTGTCTGCCTGAGCAGGCATTGAGACCATTGGAAGATGAAACTCTGGTGACACCCAAAGTCTCCCAAAAACTGCCTCAGGACTTGTACAACACTTTTGCTTTGTCCTTGACAAGCTAATTGATCACACCATTGCCACTGGATGGATGGCATCAGACATGCATAAGTCCGTCGTTGCCATAGGCATAAAATCGAACCTAAGGAGAACGAGGGGGCATACAGAAAGTACCTTGATTTGTACAATCAACTCATTCCTGCCCCCTCGTTCGTCAATCTGCCCGTACCAGCAAGCTGGAACTCTATGGTTTCAACACAGAGAAGCGGGCTCAGGCCCTTAAGTTATTATTACCTGTATTATTACCTGTCCTGGGCAACAACGTCATTGCACACTGGACAGGTCCATAAGTGCTCAGTTCCCCCAGCACCAAAGCCCGCATGTGTGAGTTGTGATTGTATCATAAGGGGCGTTGTGGTCGACAGAGTGCTGTGTTGAGCGAGATGTCAAAAAGTGAACTAAAGCATTTTACATTTGTGTGCCCTGAGTGGGAGTAAGATGTGAACATGTGATATGTGGAAGAGTAAAGTAAAGCATTCATGTATGTGTGTGAGTAAGATGTTCATGTGAGTTTGTTGTGATACATGTCAACATGTGGAAGAGTAAAGTGAAGCATTCAAGTACTTCTTGTGTGAGAGTAAAAGATGGTCAAGTGAGCTTGTTGTATGTGAGGAAGAGTAAAATGAAGCATTCAAGTACCTGTGTGTGAGGAAGATGTTCATAGGAGTTTGTGATGTGTGGAAGAGTAAAATGAAACATTCATCATGTACACCTATACATGTGAGTAAGATGTATGTGAGTCTGTTCTGGTGGTTGTTCTTTTTAGTATGTCAATAAACATCAGTTCTGTCTTAGGCCCACTGTGCAAAAGGAGTTCGTCTTTGCTTCTTTCCTCTTTTCAAACGCCTAGTTGTGCTTCAATTTGAGTGTGCTGGTATGGGGTGCAGGGGGTACCGGTATGGGGTACATGTGATATGCCATGACAGAAAACCCGATATGTGTCGGTATGGGGTACATGTCATGACATGCGTCAAGTCTCGTTTAGGGGTCTTCTCTATACTATCTGACTAAAAACTTCACTCCACACTGACAGGAACGGCTGGCCTCTCAAGGAAACGAAATTTTGGGTCGATGTTTTTGAAAGAGAGCCGAAGTTATGGTAATACAAAAGTTCACTTCCGGAAATAGTCATCACAAACACGAAGGTGTCGGTATGCCGTACCTCTAGATCTAGATTTAGGCAAAATCCCAATTCAAGCCGTTGATATCCACCCGATTTATAAATCGGGTGGAATTAAATCAAGACAAATCAAGATCTAGATCTAGATTTTAGATCTCTAAACATCTAGATCTACACCTAGAATCTAGTCTAGATCTAGAACTAATCTAGATCTAGATTCTAGATCTAGACCTCTAGATCTAGATCTAGATCTATTTCTAGAATGTCTAGATCTATATATATCTATATATATTCGGAAGGACTTCCGTAACGAGCCACTGCCCCAACAAACACTAACACAAGAAACAGGCACCCACCCCTATCCGTAACCCTAACCCCACTGCCACCCCTAACCCTAATAATCCTACCCCTACACCTAAACCTATCCATAGCCTTCTATTCTACTGTCTCATAGTGGTCGCTCGATACGGAAGTCCTCCATCATATTCAGTTGCGCAATATTAGAGGCTACACTGACACTGGATTGGGACTTTCGACTTTTTGTTTGAGGGGTTAGATTCTAGAATCCTAGATCGACCAGTTTGAGTAGATCTAGAATCTATATTATCATAATTTTACACCATAAAACGAAACAACGTATTAAAAAGACAATACAGATCCATTAATTGTACTTCATAATTCACGTACGTCAACCAGCAGTGGGTCCAGCGGGTTGCAAGACGGGTCAAGTTCTTCCATGTTGTCAACACAACAAGCTACAGAGCTACATACAAGCTCAAGCTGGCTTCGGGAGCAAGTTGAAGCAAACTCTGGAGACTGGAGACTGGAGATACGAAACGAAAATTAGACCAGAACAGGAAGTGTGGATATGTTTTAAGCCCACCGTACAGGCAATGCTCGCTTAAATGAAAAAGAAAAGCATCCATCTAAAATTGAAATAAAAGGTAACCACAAAATTATATAATCATGAGACGATCCTTTTACCTCGATTCCTCATCAATATGAAATTCATAGAAATAAAAACGTAAACTCAAGAAGTTTGGTATTATATACAAACAATCACGATAGTGTGTCAGTGGCCTCGTGGCCTAATGGATAAGGCGTCTGACTTCGGATCAGAAGATTGCGAGTTCGAATCTCGTCGGGGTCGTAATTTTTTTTTCCCCTGCTAAAAAGTAAAATGCGCTCATTTTGCATTGATGTTGTATTGCATGTCTTTTGTAATACATTTTGCATAAAATTTAAAACTGATTTTCAACGGTTTGCCAGTATAGATAAAGGAACCTGTAGAGAGCAATGTGACAATAACTTCTGGGGAATTTTTGAAAAACTATTCGTTCTAGATCTAGATCTAGATCTAGATCTAGAGTCTAGATTCTAGATCTAGATAAATTTAGATCTCTAAACTCTAAACCGTAAGATCTATATCTAGATCTAACACCATTGCCGTTAGCCTTCTCGGATAAGGGTGAAAAATCTCGGAGGTCCCGCGTGCAACTTGGGCACGTTAAAGATCTCTTGGTTGTCCAATAGCGATAAGAGTAGATCAAGGCTGGCTGCCACCCGGACAAAAATCCAACATTTCCTACAAACTAAAATGTTGTTGTTGTTGTTGTTGTTTGATAGCCTTTAAGTGTTTTACGGCACTAGCAACTGAAAAGTTATAAATATAAGTGCGCGGGACACATTAAACATTTTCAGCAGGTGGGAAATTTTGAATTTTGCCCGGATAGCGGCCGAAGCCTACTCTTATCGATTTTAGACCACCAAGGGATCTTTAACGTGCACAACTTGCACACGGGACCTCCGCGATTTTTCACCCTTGTCCGAGAAGGCTAGGTGTAGATCTCTCCAGAAGATCCAGGTTGTGCCTGAAATCCTAGACAGCAGTGAGAAAGGAGCCAAGGAGAAGCGCAGTGGATATGTATAATTATATAGGCTGCAGAAAGAGTCAGGAGCGCAGAGGAGGGGGCAAAGGGGGTGAGGGGATGTGGGCAGAAGTGGAGACGAAAGCAGACGGCAGAAAATTGCTAGAACAAGGAAAGGAGACAGTTTTAGAGAGAAAATTTTCCCTCTCCACCCTGATTCGAACCCGGGACCTTTGAAAGAGAGGTGAACACCTTAAATTAACCTCGGGGCCACGAGAGCCTCTTAAAAATGTTTAATGTGTCCCGTAAGCCCATATTACTCTATGCTGTTGCGAGCGCCGTCTTAGATTCAAACAAACAAATAAACAAAAACAAAACCGTGTATTGTAGATCTACAAAGAACCTTTTAGTTAAACCAGCTTAATCTGCAAAACTGCCGCAATGCACCTTTTCAAGGTATCGTATGCGGTTTGTGTTGGGTTTTGTGTGTGTGATGTGTGTGTGTGTGTGTGTGTGTGTGTGTGTGTGTGTGTGT